TATCTTTAAATCCACACTGAAAACAGATGATTCTCGCATACAACACATCATTAGGCCACATAATGGTATGTGTTGGCATTATCTTTGTCTCGCTCCATGTATTCTCGCTCAATCAAGGATTCAATTCGTTTCTTCAGATCCGCAGACTGTGGGCAAATAAAATAGAAGGGTTATAAATGAAAACTGTACTCATCCAATATCAAACATCTCAAAAGACATCTACCATTATGTACACAACAGCTAGTGTGTGTAGGGAAACATTTCTGGCTGTTGGGTTTAACCCTGCTGCCTCGAAAAATAGAAAAACTGCAACTTCTGGTTGAGGTCCAATTCCCCATAAATCTCACTTCTGCATCTTGTCTACAGTGATCTACTTATAAAACCCACAGTTAGTGCTATTGGTTGTTTTTGCACCTGCAAAAACATTCAGGAGGTTAGGGGATATGAATAAGACAACTAACAATAGCATATGCGGTGGGGGGGTGTTGTGTGTGTGCGTGTGGTGGTGGTGGTGGTTTGAAAGCCAAGCTGATGTCAGTTTACCATCAGCCTCAGTGATTACCCCTTTCATTCATCTTTATATATCAAAGCAAAACTTTGTATATATACCCAGAACTATGTATACAGAACGATATGGTTCTGACTTTATAGCTGCCCTGGTAAAACAGGCAGTCATGTTTGATCATTGTTGAATTTGTACTTTAGTTATAAAAGATTCACTTATCTGCTTCATTTATGTAATTGTTACTGTAGTATGCACCTGACGGATCACAGCAAAATATTCCAGGCAATAAATTGTGCAATCTATTGTTTGTGTCTTCTTTGTTGAAATCTTTATATATGTTAAACCTTTAAATCCCTTTGAATTCTAAGAATTATTGTTAAAGTTTTCCCAAGGTGAAAGGGACGAAGGGAACTTGCATTTTCATGTTTAAATGTGTGTAACCCCCGTTTGGGTTCTAGGTCCCCACTGTAAGCGGGGAAAGGGGGGGGGAAGAGGGGGTTGAGTGAGAATAGATCCACCAAATTCCCCCCCCCCCCCCAATAAACATGTCATAAAAAGCAACTAAATAGGGATGTTTCCTTTGAAGTCAGTGCATTGGCCTGAAAGGCAATGAACCAACAACTGGTATACCAATAAGTCAAATATGTAAAATGGGTGTGCATGCAACACTCAAGTTCTGGAACAGGAAAACACTCAGAGGTGGACGAACAACCAGAGCTTTCCGTCAGAGTTTACAGCCGGTGAAACACAACTATTCTAAAATGTAATACTTCATAACAGAGCAAAAGCAGCCTTCGTCAGAGAGAGAAATAATCAGATGAGGGAAAGCTGGCACAAAAAGACAGCGTCATTTAACCTCGAGAAGGACACTTCACGTCTGTGGAATCTCACAAAAAGCTTGAATGGAGACAAGACGGAAAAAGCCAGAGTTGTACTCCAAACAGACGATGGATCGTTTACTGGCAAGGTAGCAGCAGATGTGCTAGCCGAAACACACCAGAAGGAAACTGAGGTTCATATTCCCATGCAAAGAATAAAAGAAGTACGAAACCAGACCAAGACTCTTCTAGCAGACTTTAGCACAAAAACAAAAGAGGCCTGCATGTCAGAAAGGTTTACCATGCAAGAGCTGGAAGTTGGAATTGGAGAGTTGAAAATGAAGAAAGCCCCAGGGGCTGACGGCATTACAAACGAATTTTCTCTCTCATCTTGGACCTGCTGCCAAGAAGTTTCTCCTCTGCATCTACAACCAGAGCTGGCAAAAAGGGGTAGTACCGTCAGCCTGGAAGGAAGCCCTCATCCAGCCTATCCTTAAAAAGGGTGGAGACAGAAGAGACCCAAAAAGCTACAGACCTATTAGCCTTCTTAGTTGTGTAGGAAAATTGATGGAGAAATTAGTAAATAAAAGACTAATATGGTTCCTGGAGACAAACTCAGTAATCACCACCACCCAGACAGGATACAGACAGCACAGAAATACAGAGGACCAGTTGACATATCTGACACAGGAAATTGAGAATGCCTTCCAGGAAAAAAAGAAAGTTCTTGCTGTCTTTTTTGACCTCTCTCGTGCTTTTGATACAGTTTGGAAAGAAGGCCTACAACTAAAACTGCTACAGGCAGGAGTTGTGCACAACATGTACAAGTGGATCAAAGACTTTCTTTTCCAACGCAGAGCCAGATTCAGAATTGATGGACACATTGGCAAACTGGCAAAACTTAGAGAAGGAGTTCCCCAGGGCAGTGCTATATCACCAACTCTGTTCCTGGTTTACATTAATGATATCACAGCAACCTGCCACCAGCACGTTTTTAATACCCTACATGCCGATGACTTTGCAGTTTGGACAGCCTCCGAATACACTACCACAGCCTCATATCTGTTACAAAAAACTGTGGAAAATGTAGAAGCCTGGACCGAAAAGTGGGGTCTAAAGCTAAATAAATCAAAAAGCACAGCATCACTTTTCTCTCTCTCCCCAAAAAAAGAAAAAATCGAAATTTGGATTAAAAACCAGCTCATTCCACAGACTGACACTCCTACCTTTCTGGGCGTTACACTTGATTCCCGACTAACTTGGAAGTCACATGTAGAAGCAGTACAGGGAAAAGCATTCAAGAAGCTTGCAGTTATGAAAAAATTAGCGGGTACCACATGGGGCGCTAACTCTAGAATCCTAAAACAAGTATATACTGGAGCAGTCAGGCCAGTCATGGAATATGCCTCCACTGCATGGGCTACAGCAGCCAAGACAACAATGGGAAAACTGGACAAGGTTCAGAATATGGGATTAAGGATTGTTCTCGGAGCCATGAAAACCACCCCCATCAGAGAAATAGAAAAGATAGCAGATACTGAACCACTCGAACTCAGAAGACAATACAAAACTCTTTTACAGTATGAGAAATTAAAAAGACTTCAAAGTCACCCACTGCATTTTAAATTTCAAGAGAGAACAAAAAACAGACTGAAGCGTCAGAGCCCCAACCACCTTGCTAGAGAACTGTACAGACAGCACCAAGATCTGCTTGAAAGAGATGTTGCACTGTGCGAAAAACTTAGGCCAGAACCATGGACAAGCAAGCCAGAGAAAGCAAATGTAGTCCTAAAGGTACCAGGAATCACTTCAAAAGATGCCCAGACGGAGACACAACAGAGAACCCTGGCTCTTGCTATGCTTGATGAGAAGTATCCAAACACCACTTGGACTCAGGTTTTCACCGACGGCTCTGCTACAGATGCAGTCAGAAAGGGGGGTTGTGGAATTTACATTAAACCTCCTAGCAGTAGAGCAGAAACTCTCTCTCTACCAGCAGGTGACATCTGCACTAACTTCAGAGCTGAGGCAACTGCCCTCCTCTCTGCAGTCCAACATCTCATCACTCAAGAACACAGAGGGCACCAAATTGTTATACTTAGCGACTCATTGTCTGTTCTCCAAGCACTATCCAGCAAAAAACAAGACAAAATAATTGCTGATCTAAGGACCAACATTGGCTTACTCTCCAAGGAAGCAGAACTGGTCTTGCAGTGGATACCAGCCCACTGTGGTATTCAAGGAAATGAGAGAGCAGATGAGTTGGCAAAAGCTGGGAGTAATCTTCCACAACCTCATCCACCACACAGACACAAGGAAACCAAAACACCGCTAAAGCAGTCTTTCAAGCGGGAGTGGAGAAGGCAGAATGAAGATTACAGACCAGAGAGTGACAGCATAAACAAACTCAACAGGAAAGAACAAACATCAATTCTTAGACTTCGGACTGGACACTGTGGTCTTCGAGCACACTTGTACAGGATAGGCATAAAAGAATCTGCTGCCTGTGATTGTGGAGCAGAAAGACAAACCCCTGAACACATACTGCAGTACTGCCCTTACCTCTCCCAGCAAAGACTGTGGATCTGGCCCAAAGGAGCCACATTGCAAGAGAAGCTATGGGGGACCGGTGGCGACCTTAAACGCACAATCCTATTTGTGACCCAGACGGGACTCAATGTCTAGCATGACTGATATCGAACGCAGAAGAAGAAAGAAGAAACAGCCGGTGAATGCGAAGAAGAACAAGAAGAACAGTCCTCAATATTGTTAATAATAAAGCTAAGGCATTCAAAATATACGATAACTTAAATTTTCTATTGTAAATATGACTGTAATTAGTGAATTATATCTAGTTTCATCAGTGGACATAAAAATGATAAAACTTGAGCATAACAGAGAGATAAATCAGAGTTTATCTGCCTGAGAGGCAAGAAAGCAACAGTCTGCCTACAAATTCAGATCTGTAAAACGGATGTGCATGCAACACTCAGGTTCTGGAACAAATCTAAAGTCCAGAGGTGGATGAACAACCAAAACTTTTCCCCGGAGTTTACAGCCAGTGAACACGAAGAAGAAGAAGAACAGAGCAAATGAAAATCTAAAAAAAAAGGTTGAAGGATTAAAATAAAGATGATCCACTTAACTGCACCAGATTTTATCTCATATGGCTGTTTCTCTCAGCAGAATGGCTGGCTCCCCCCCCCCCCCCCCCCCCAGTGTTGCACAAAAAATCAAGCCCCCACTACTTCAGTAAAAATCCCCAAGGAATTCACTCAAAACTGTACCCTTGGACTGAATGACAAACACCATGATATGAACCCACAAACATCAGAGTGCACATCAAACGACAACCACAGAAACCCCTAAAAAAAGTACTGTATTTTGCAATGCATATATTAAACAATATGTTTGCCCAAATTTTTCAGTTTAAAATTGGGGGTAGTCTCGTACAGGAAATGTTTAAAATACTAATTTCCTAATTTTGGGCTTTGAAAAATGGAAAGGGGGGAGGGGGAAATTTGGGTGGGAAGGAAAAGGTTAGTGAGTGTTAATAAATGGAGGCATCTTATAAACAAAAACATAATATGAGGTTATTTCTTGAAAAAGCCACAGTAATTAATTGAAAAAATTTAATTAAAAAAAAAAACACTCGATAGCAACAAAATGAAACTTACTTTGACAGGAAACTTGAGCTGATTAAAGAGCTCTGATATAAGCAGGTTGTGACTCAATGTCTTCCTGGTCTTCATGATGCGGACCACGGCAGCATCCACCTGGTACTGGCGGTCCTGGAACACTCGTTCTGTGGTACTGGTGTTCTCCTCTTGCTGCAAACATGGGAATGAACAATGACAGCCACCATCCTCGTACACAGGGCATTCACATGTGTGCTCGGTTCTCTCTTCTCCTGTCTTCTTCTCCATGTTCACTGGGTGAAAGCCTCGGCAAAAAGTTCTGGTTGTTCGTCCATTTCTGGACTTTGGTTTTGTTATAGAGCGTGAATTTTGCATGCATATCCATTTTGTATATCTGGCTTATTTGTATGCAGACTGCTGGTTCCCTGCCACTCAGGCAAAAGCACATTACGACTTTGAAGGAAACACCCCCTGATCAGTCATCTTATAGGACAAGTTTCTGAGGCAGAAGCGTGTTTATTCCCCACCACATTGGGTCCCGGAACCAACACAGTGATGCTCAGTCCTTTCAACAATGATACTGGCTGACAGTCTTGCATATAAATGGAATATTTCCAGAATATAACACTAACGGATGCTTTCCACTTTGTGTCGTCTTCTTTCTTTGTACTTGCCCTTAAAAGGGTGGTTGGAACATTGTGTTGTGATTAACAGCTAGGCTGTGACATCTGGGCCTTTCCGCTCAACACACCTGACTTAGGTAAACCTCTAATTAGTAACTTTTTATGACAGGCTTGTTAATTTCAAGGTTTGATCCCAGCAGTGGGCCAATTAATAGCAGGTTGCCTGGTGTTGTTTGTGACAGTGGTATCAAGAGCTGACCATTCAAGAAGCAATGGCAAACTAGTGAGCAAAACACTGCCCAGTAAAATAAAAAAACAGGCACACAAAAATGCTGGGGTTGGTTGTGCAAAGTCCTTTAAAAGATTCACAACTATCTTTTGTTAAGGGACAGTACATCTACTGGGGTCCCAGAACCCATACAGGGACCTGCTTAGTGTTAGGATACAATGTTAAGTGTGGTGATGATACAAAGTTTAGTGCGGTGATGATATAATGTTCAGTGTGATGAGGATATAATGTTTAGTGTGATGATGATAAAAGGTTTAGTGTGGTGATAATGCAATGTTTAGTGTGATGATGATAAAAGGTTTAGTGCAGTGATGATACAAGGTTTAGTGCGGTGATGATAAAAGGTTTAGTACGGTGATTATACAAGGTTTAGTGCGGTGATGACACAATGTTTAGTATGATGATGATAAAGGTTTAGTGCGGTGATGATACAAGGTTTAGTGTGATGATGATCAAAGGTTTAGTGCAGTGATGATACAAGGTTTAGTGCGGTGATGACACAATGTTTAGTGCGGTGATGATATAATGTTTAGTATGATGATGATAAAGGTTTAGTGCGGTGATAATAAAAGGTTTAGTGTGGTGATGATAAAAGGTTTAGTGCGGTGATGATAAAAGGTTTAATGTGGTGATGATAAAAGGTTTAGTGCGATGATGATAAAAGGTTTAGTGCAGTGATGATGATAAAAGGTTTAGTGCGATGATGGTAAAAAGTTTAGTGCGATGATGATAAAAGGTTTAGTGTGATGATGATAAAAGGTTTAGTGTGATGATGATAAAAGGTTTAGTGTGATGATGATAAAAGGTTTAGTGCGGTGATGATACAAGGTTTAGTGCGGTGATGATACAAGGTTTAGTGCGGTGATGATACAAGGTTAAGTGTGATGATGATACAATGTTTAGTGCGTTGATGATACAAAGTTTAGTGCAGTGATGATTCAAGGTTTAGCGCGGTGATGATACAAGGTTTAGCGCGGTGATGATACAAGGTTTAGTGTGATGATGATAAAAGGTTTAGTGTGATGATGATAAAAAATTTAGTATGATGATGATAAAAAATTTAGTGTGATGATGATAAAAGGTTTAGTGTGATGATGATAAAAGGTTTAGTATGATGATGATAAAAGGTTTAGTATGATGATGATAAAAGGTTTAGTGCGATGATCATAAAAGGTTTAGTGCGGTGATGATGCAAGGTTTAGTGTGATGATGATAAAAGGTTTAGTGTGATAATGATAAAAAATTTAGTGTGATGATGATAAAAGGTTTAGTGTGATGATGACAAAAGGTTTAGTGTGATGATGATAAAAGGTTTAGTGCGGTGATGATACAAGGTTTAGTGCGGTGATGATACAAGGTTTAGTGCGGTGATGATACAAGGTTAAGTGTGATGATGATACAATGTTTAGTGCGTTGATGATACAAAGTTTAGTGCAGTGATGATTCAAGGTTTAGCGCGGTGATGATACAAGGTTTAGCGCGGTGATGATACAAGGTTTAGTGTGATGATGATAAAAGGTTTAGTGTGATGATGATAAAAAATTTAGTATGATGATGATAAAAAATTTAGTGTGATGATGATAAAAGGTTTAGTGTGATGATGATAAAAGGTTTAGTGTGATGATGATAAAAGGTTTAGTATGATGATGATAAAAGGTTTAGTATGATGATGATAAAAGGTTTAGTGCGATGATCATAAAAGGTTTAGTGCGGTGATGATGCAAGGTTTAGTGTGATGATGATAAAAGGTTTAGTGTGATAATGATAAAAAATTTAGTGTGATGATGATAAAAGGTTTAGTGTGATGATGACAAAAGGTTTAGTGTGATGATGATAAAAATTTTAGTGCGGTGATGATACAAGGTTTAGTGCGGTGATGATACAAGGTTTAGTGCGGTGATGATACAAGGTTTAGTGTGATGATGATACAATATTTAGTGCGGTGATGATACAAAGTTTAGTGCAGTGATGATTCAAGGTTTAGCGCGGTGATGATACAAGGTTTAGCGCGGTAATGATACAAGGTTTAGTGTGGTGATAATATAATGTTTAGTGCAGTGATGATGCAATATTTAGTGATGATACAATGTGATGATGAAGTAGAGAATGGTAAACACACTGTGTTGTGGGTAACGCAGCGATGGGAACCGAGTATCCACCAAGAAAAGTCGACACCTCTGAGGTGCTATCTGCTGTTAGTGTGGTGATGATGCAATGTTTAGTGTGGTGATGATACAAGGTTTAGTGTGGTGATAATGCAATGTTTAGTGTGGTGATGATACAAGGTTTAGCATAGTGATGACACACTGTTTAGTGTGGTGATGACACAATGTTTAGTGTGGTGATAATGCAATGTTTAGTGTGGTGATGATACAAGGTTTAGCATGGTGATGACACACTGTTTAGTGTGGTGATGACACAATGTTTAGTGTGGTGATGCTGCAATGTTTAGTGTGGTGATGACAATGTTTAGTGTGGTGATGACATAATGTTTAGTGTGGTAATAACACATTGTTAAATGTGATGACATGGATTGTTTAGTATGACAACAGAATGTTAAGTGTGCCGACAGTGTACATTTAATACTATGATGTGTGTTCAGTGTGATAAGAGAAAAGGGATAAACGCAAGGGTGACTGCAGTCAAGCCTGTATCGAGAAATTAATCCCCTGAACTGTGTGTAACAGTTGGTAAGATGGTTTTTATTGATAAAGGCTACTTGGTTTCTGTTGGCAAAGGCTGCTGCAGAAATCTCTGATCAGTCCTGTGTATGTGTTTTTGTCCTTTCCCACCATTGTTTAAGCTTCTTAGTCACAGTTCAGTGGATTAATTTAGTGTGATGACACAGTATGTTTAGTGTCATGACATGGCGAATTCAGTGTAATAAATGGAATGTTTAATGTAAAAACTAAGTATGTTTAGTCTGACAAAACTATATGTTCAGTGTGATAATAAAGCATGATAGTGTGGCAAAAACACAGAATTGTATGGAAAGTTAAGAGTGACAATAAAAAGTTAAAGTGTGATGACAGTGTGTTTAGCGTCATGGCATGGTGTGTTTAGCTTTATGACATGCAATATTTAGTAGTGTAATAACATGGTGAATTTAGTGCAACAAAATAAAATTTTAGGTGTCATGGCACATAAGGTTTAGTGTGAAAAAAAAATGTACTACTTACAGTCTCTTTCATCTGGATCTGATTGATTTTGATTCTGTACAGTTTATGCTTAAAATCATCAGCGAACCGAAATGTGTCTGTCTCGTTGACGTCCTTCCCCTGTAGAATGAAACACAGCAGGTCAATTTGAGCCAGCCCTCTAGGGCAGGAATGTCAAACTGAAAACAGCTTGGTGGCCACATTATTTACACATATGGTCATGGGAGGCTGCAGAATTCTGATTTAGCTACATACAAAATGCTGACATCCTTTGAACATCAAGAAAGACTGGCTAGTAAATAGCATCCAGTCTTGAAAACTAACACATTCTGGCCACATCAAGCGCCATGGCAATGGAAAAAATAATAGCAGATGGCATGGTACAAGGAGCTGGCGAGATGGCCGAGTTTCTTTCAGACAGACAACGAGGACAGCGGTCTTGTACAAAATACCTGCCGCACGATAATGACACACATAATGTGAGATGCTGATGGCTTGAGCAGATAAGAATACTGGACTCTCATGTGGGGGACCTATTTCAAATCCTCATAAAGGTGATTTATTCATTTTTCAGTCAGGGGCGCACACAAATCCCAAGCAGCACTTAGCATCTGCACTAACCACTACACTACGCTGACTCCCAGTGATTCTGTGGTATATTCTTTTCTGACAAGTACAGGCACCGATTTTTTTTAAAATTAAATGGGAGCACCCAGCAATTTCCAGAATTTTCTGTAAACTGCCTCAGAGGAAAAGCTAACAAAGAAAGGAACTGGTTGCCCTAGCAATTATGTTCTGACCTAGGATGTCTGAAGGTCTAACATTATACCTAGATAGCAGTATCTGCTATGTCAACTAGAGTCCCCTCACAACAAAGATTTAACATGATGTGAGACACCCATGTTACGGATACATAGTTATGTCTTACCTTAGGTATCTTGTAGATGACTCTAGCTTTGCCACAGGCCAAAGATTGCAACGTTCTCTTTAACTCCATTTCATCTGAAGAAACACACGACTATAGTTACAAGACTAACACAACATGACAATGTATCGCAATTAACAGTTTTACCGTAATCCTGTCAGAACATAGTTAACTTTGACACAACACCTTACAAGTTACACGTTAAAAAACACTATCAGTTTTATAGTAAATATGCGAGTATAATAACTGTCATTGTTATCATTTAACAAGTTACTGTATTTTTTTTAACAAGATAAACACAAGATAAATGTGTGTAATATAAAAGTTTTCATGTAAATATGTCACAAATGGGGATAAAAAGAATAAAAGTAACAAATCAATTACCTACTCAGGCAGTAATGTTGATTACACAAGGAATGAAAAAGAAATAGCATGAAACACACTGGCAAGGCAACAGCTTCATAAAAGTCACTGTTAATATAAGATTTATTTAGGGCAGAAGATAAGCAGCCAATTCAACAAAATACTTTTCACACAGCTTCACACAAGTAACTTAACAAATTGACAATTTATGTAAGAAGGCAAGTGGGTAATATAACCACAAAATTTTGTTACACAGCTTCATACCAGTTATAGCCAGACTTTTGAAAAAAAAAAAAAAAAAAAATTACCGTGGCTCTCATTCTGCCCATTGTTAAATGGGTACCAGGTGAAGTCCTGAGAAGTAAAGGTGGCCGGTGTGATGTTGACCATTTGATCCATCGATGCCGAACTGGTCTAAAAATATAAGTCTAGCCCTATATGCCCAATACACCTAAAGGCGTGGAAAAGGGTCTTTTATTTTACTTCACATAACTTACTGTCAATACAAGATTTATGTTAAAGGACAAAAAGGAAAGACAGATAATATTTGATAACATTATATTTAGAAAAGTCTTTGCACCGACAACCACAGGTCGAAACAAAAAAGGCATGTGATGGAAAGGAAAAAAGAACACAACATGAATTGGGTTAGGGCTGATACTAAACAAGGGTAATAAAAATCAAAAGAAAAGACGACAAACATAGCCCAAGACACAACCCACCCACTAACATACATCACAACTAAACACTAGTTATCTATATGAAAGCAATGTAACTCACCAATGCCAGTGGCAGTTTTGATATCAGAGAATGTGTACTCATCTCCTTCATTAAACAGCAGTAGACATAAAGTCTGTAGCAGCGACACCTGAATCTCTTTTCTCACCTGTTACAATACACAATAGAGGAGCTGTGTTCTTAAATTCTAAAGCTTCAGAACTGCATCCACAAACAACATGTCATTTCTACAAGTAATTGAGCCCTAAAACAACATTTAATTTATATTCTTGCAAGATTTTTCATATTAGTGATTCAGTTATTCTAATGCATCTATGTATTATTCACACAAATGATTAAGTTATTCTAATGCATCTATGTATTATTCACACAAATGATTAAGTTATTCTAATACATCTATCTACTTCTGACACAAGTGATTTAGTTATTTTAATGCATCTATTATTCACACAAATGATTCAGTTATTCTAATACATCTATCTACTACTGACACAAGTTATTCAGTTATTCAAGCTAACATTTGATTGACTATTTATGATTCACTTCTGCATAATTTTTCTTCTTCTTTACTTACACTTAAAAGGCCAGCCTTAGTGTTAAGGTTTACAGCTAGGCTGCGACATCGGCACTTTTCTGACCATCACATCCAATTCTGGTAAACTCCTTTTATGACACGATCTATTCTTTTTTTTATACCAAAATGGTGCCTCAGAACCTACAAAGGGGTACAATTCTAAATTGCAGAAATACAAAAATAAAAAACACTAAGGAAGAAGTAAAAGCTACACACATACAACAATATGGATCTGTCCAATGTATGATGATGGGTCAAATAACTAACAAACACTTACAGCCGATAAAAGCACTGAACAACCTTGCAAATGAGTCAAACACTTACAGTATAATTTTGGAATTCAGCTTTCAATACACAGTGACCCAATGTTGGCTGCCATTGGAGTTTCCTGCCGCTATGTTTGCCCAAATAGAATTTTTTGAAAATTTCCTGATAACGAAGCATCTAAAATAAGGAGAAAAATAAACACATGAAGAGGAAATGTAATAGAGCATAAAATATAAATGGGAGTCGCCGTGGCCGAGCGGCTAGACACTCGCAGCGAATCAGAAGGTCGTGGGTTCGCTCCCTGGAGGGACCAGACTTTTTTCAAAAATGACCTTGGCTCGCAGGTCAACCCAGCCTTGAGTGGGTACCGGGTTCAGTCGCGGGAAGTAAAGGCAGCCGGCATGATGCTGACCACATCACCCATCTTGTGCCGATTAGTCTATACAAATATAGGCTAGCCCTATATGCCTAATGGCGTGGAAAGGGTCCTTTACTTACTTTAAAAAATAAATAAAATATAAATGTATTAAATAGCAATCATGTAAACATTTAACAAAAACAATAGTCTTTAACTAAAAAGTCGTTCTCAATCATTCTAATGCTGCAACCCTTTAATACAGTTCCCTCATGTTGTAGCAACCTGGCAACAATTATTTTCCTTCATAACTTCAATGAATATGTGTTTTCCAATGGTTTTAGGCGACCCCTGTGAAAGAGTTGTTATAGAGTCGTCCCCTTGTAGGATGCAATTTTTCGTTATTTGAAGCCCCACCCTAGCTTTTGCCGGGGGCCCTGAATATAGCTGGGCCACAAATATGGCCATAACAGCTGAAAGGGGTTTCTGGGACCTCTCCACGAGTGATCCTCATCCGCATGGTGGGACTTTGTGTCACCGGATGTTTATCGCTTGTGTGATGTCCTGGTGGGACACAACAAGCAAGCAAGCAAGCAAGAGTTGTTCGATAAAACAAAAAAAAGGGTTGCGACAGGCAGGTTGAGAACCGTCGACCTAGAACAATGTCCTTCAAGCTTTTTAACCTTTAGGCTCTTAACACTGAGGTAAAACAGGAGCAATATTTTGCATACTGAGTGCTGAATAAGCCAGAAACACTAACATTTGTAGATGTTATTTCATTTATGAAATCCAATTACAATTTTTAGCTAATGTGACAATGATTGAAATACAATGTCTATATGTGACTTTTCACTAACAATGATCAAACAAACAGCAATGTGTATATGAAAACTTGTCTGCAACAATGATCCAACAGCATAATCAAAATGTGACTTGTCAATAACTCATCTGTAACAATAATCAAACAGTCACATCTAAATGTGACTTGTCAATAACTCATCTATAAAAATGATCAAACAGCAATGTCTACATGTGACTTGTCAATAATTTTTTTTTTTAAATTTATCAAACATCAAATTCTATAAAAAGAAACCCATCAGTTACAGTTACACACAGTTACAGTTTTGATGGTGATCGAGCAAGTACAACTGTATGTCTGTCTTGCTTTTCATCTGCATGCTAAATGTCTTCCTTATCCTCAAGTCCCTCCCCCCTGCACCACTTTCCAAACCATGAGGATCTTCATGTACTTCCTTATTACTCACTCATTCCTTACATCATTCCCCCATCCCACATCTAGCTTGTCAAGTATCAAGTTACCACCAAGTGGTGAAGAACCAGCCAATCTGTCTGCCTGTTAATTTCCTAACAAACCTGTATGTCTGTAAGAAAATATTTTAACGGATGCTGACTAGACAGAACCTCTGAAGTGATGCTTGCCACTCTGCACAAAGCATGTCTGTCAGCTTTCCTCAGAAGGTCTATAGATCAGTGGGAGTCACCGCGGCAGAGCGGCTAGATGCGTGCCGCGGATCGGAAGGTCATGGGTTCGCTCCCTGGCGGAGCCGGACCTTTCTTCAAAAATGACTTTGTCTCCCAGGTCGACCCAGTCGTGAGTGGGCACCGGGTGCAGTCCCGGGAAGTAGAGGCGGCCAGCGTGATGCTGACCACACCACCCATCTTGTGCCGTTGGTCTAAAAAAATATAGGTCTAGCCCCTAATGCCCTATACACCTAAAGGCGTGGAACAGGGTCCTTCACTTACTTTTACTATAAATCAGTTGTCTATGAATATCTTTCTTTTGGAGTAAATAAGGCAGGCTAAGAGATTGATTATGTAGAACAGGTAACATGCAACTCTACAATACTGCCCAGATTTTGCGCTAATGAGAGGAGAAACTACTCCCACGCACCCCTATAGTACAATATAACACCACTGTCCAGTAATACAGAAAGGTGCTAATGAAATAAAAGGAAATGATAAAACAGCCCCGTGTATGACATGACAATAACAAATATATATCCAAGATCATACATCCCCATCAGAAGCTGACAATAAATGTTTCTACAACAATACCTCTGATGGTAGATGAACTTCCACAACTGGATAGGCTGGCCAGTAACCCTGGGTTAAGATGTTCACTGTCAGATCTATGGAGTCATTGACTGACTGTAAACTCTGTGGGGTAGATGCAAGGAGAGAAACTCAAACACCACTGGATATCACAGAGTTTATGGAAATAAGTTAAAATCAGCGTTGCACAACCTCTTCAGAGTATTTCAAACCAACTCCAATAATTAAACTATAACACAACATTGCAACCTGATTAAAAGCCCGCCTCTTTAATAAAAAGTGTTCCAGTCAACTCTGTATAAAAAAGAGAAGCAGGAAATTTTCTGGGAAGTAAAAGTCGCCGTGATGTTATGCAGTCTCAAGGTTTCAGTGACTCCTTCACTTCAATCCACGTTTTCTCGGTCTTCCCCTGCCTCTTGGTGTTTCAATTTTCAGGTTGCACGCTCTTGCTGCTGGCATCGTTGGTTTCATTCTCATCAGACGGCCAAACCATTTCATTCTTTGTTTCTCAATAAATTTTTTTATTTGGGTGTTGTTCCAACAGTTCTTGTGATCACGTTGTTTCTCACTCAATCTCTTCTGGTTTTATTAACAGCCATTCTCTAACATCTCATCTCATGGCAACAGTTAAAAAGCATTATTAGCTACATTAACAATGATCAGTGGGTACATCAAACAAACAACATTTTAACATCTGCAACTTTATACACACTTCTTTTTTTCTTCACATTCACCAGCTGTAGACGCCAGTGAAAAGTTCTGGTTGTTCGTCCCCCTCTGGACTCTAGTCAGTCTTGTTGAAGAACTTAAGTGTTGCGTGCACATCTATTTAACATATCTGGCTTATATATATATATGATCGCCCATATATGATCATGCCTCTCCATAATCTGCAATCTCCTGCAGCATGTATCAGTTTGTGTGCCGACACACCTCCATGCCATGCAACAAGACTGTCAAGCATCTTCTCTCGTTGTCTTCCTTTATCTCTCCTTCCACATATCTTTCCAGTGGTTATAACATGTTCTATTTTCCCTCTTCTCATTACATGGCCGAAAAATGATTACCGTCTCCTTCTGATGTCTGTGATAAGTTGTCTTCGGGCTCCCGCCTCTTTCAAAACCTCTTGATTGCTCATTCTTTTTCTAACTCTCAATGACAACTCTCAATGATATATTGCACAAGATGTTTTTCATTTTATAAAATGCAGTTTTTGCCTGTCCTATTCTATTTCTTATCTCAGTGATGAACAAGCGACTTGTAAGGACGGCATTGTTTTCTTCGTCGGCGTTATTTTTGTTTTGTGGGTTTTTATGTTGACTCTCTGTATTTGTCGTATTTTCCTGTTTAGTACAGCTGGAAATACCTTCAGTGAGACAAAAAGCTGGCCTAATGCTGACAACACGGAACGAAGGTTTTTCATGGAGGTGTGTCAGCACACGAACTAATACGTGCTGCAGGAAATCGCAGATTGTGGCGAGGCATAATCGCCCATGCCAGCCGGCAAAGCACATGATGACGATGATGATGATTCACTATTCGTATTCGTATTCGGCCGAATAGTTGGTCCTGCTATTCGTATTCGGCCGAATAGTGAAAATCACTATTCGGTACAGCCCTAATATATATATATATATATATATATATATATATATATATATATATATATATATATATATATATATATATATATATATATATATATATATATATATATATATATATATATATATATATATATATCAAAGGATGCACCCAATTAGTCGACTCCTACAATATGCTTTCTGGATGTATAAACGAGGGAGGAACTGCAACAGTGCCTAGATGCTTGTTCACCAGGCTGTGAAACACGAGTTTGAATCTGCATTAGTGCGGACTAGGTAGCTGACCCAGGCATCCAGATCGGCGCAGCCAAAATTATTGCATTCATTCACTGCCCTATTATTTTTCACACAGGGCTCGTAGTCTATTTCTCCATTTCATTCTCTCCTGTACAATCATTTCAATATCACGGGTGGAATCCAGTCCAGCACCGTTGGTTCCTGCCTTCAAAATTCGAATTAGGGTTGTTTATCTTGGAGGTCCTCGCTTGATCAATCCTTTAATATTCAACTTCAGTGCCTTATTGGTGATTCACTACTAGTCTTCTCTTAGAGGGTGTCTAATATAGAGCCATTTTCTGTTCTTCTTTGTTCACCGGCTGTAATCTCCAAGTGAAAGTCGTGGTTGTTTGTTTACTTGGACTTTGGCTTTGTCCCAGGGCCTGAGTTTTGAGTGTACATCTGTTTTACTGGCTTCTTTGTGTGCAGTTGGTTGTTCCTTGCTGCTCGGGCAGATGCACTCCAACATCTAAGGAAGTCCCTAATTAGTTGCTCCTACGACATGCCTGTTGGGGAGGCAGTGGGTCTATTCTTGTTTTCCCCACAATGGGGCCCCGGAACCCACATGAGGAATATATAGTGGAACCTCGCTTAACGAGCATAAATCGTTCCAGAATCATACTCGTTAAGCGAAACACTCGTTATGCGAAACTATCTTTCTCATATAAATTAATGTAAAATACGATAATGCGTTCAATGTCGAAAAAAATACTCACAAAATGCTATGTATAACGTTTATTCAAAGAAAGTTATTTACATATTGTTAAGGAGAGTGAATCATCTTCATCTTTTTTTTCAAACGCGGAACAAACCCACCTGGAATGCGAATTCGATTTGCAGGAAAAAAAGTCAAAATAATTACATAGCTAATTATTTTTTTTTTATTGGGAAGATGTCCCGATACATTTGTTTTTGCCGACGCTTCAAAATTTGACGCAAATGCGAAGAGCATTATCATTTAATAAATTTGCAACGCTCATAGCAATTTCCTCATCAGGGTGATGCTTCTCAATGCAAGATGCAACAGTTTGCCATGCTTTCATCATTTCTCTTATTTCGCCAGAAGATTGCTGTTTTTCTGTTATCTCCTCCTCCTCTGACAAACTTTACTCCAAAACTTCTTGCTGTGAAACACAATGCAACTCTCTAAGCTCTTCGGTGGTCAGCTCTTGGCTGTGTGGCTGTGCTCTTCCGCAAGCTCTTCGATATCACTGTTCTCCACCTACAATCCCATGATAGTGGCTAAAGACACAGTCTCGTTGACTACAGGTTCCACAGGTGCTGTCTTGAACCCTCAAAGTCACAAATCGACAACGCTTTCCGGTCAAAGCTTCTTCCAAGCAGAAGTTAGGGCTCTCTTGGAAACCCCTTCCCCCGCCTTGTCGATCATCTTGAGTCAGGCGACGATGTGGAAGTGATTTTTCCAAAACTCTTTGAAAGTGAGGTTTGTTCCTTCAGCCACCTGAAAACAATGCCCGAAGAGTGCTTTAGTGTAGAGCTTCTTAAAGTTAGAAATAACTTGCTGGTCCATGGGCTGGAGTAACGGAGTGGTGTTGGGAGACATAAACTGGATCTTGATGAACCTAACTTCTTCATAGAGGTCATCTTGTAGGCCTGGAGAATTTATGTGCATATATCACAATATAAAACATGAGCAGCGTGGGGGCCACGTGGCGGTACCATTGTCGCCGGAAAAGCAATTGACCCATGACCCCAAGCGCGCAATGACCCGTGACAGCGGCTCTGCTGGATATTTTGCCGCCGTCATCTTTGCCGACCGTTTGTCGGAGGATAGCCAAAAAAGATTGTCCTGGCTGCCTGTAATTACAACTTGCTATTGTGGCACAGACAGACAGTAGGCAGTGTGTTCTTGAGCCTGGGTATTTAAAGCCACAGGCTCATTCGGTCACTCTGAAATGCTGATACTCAAGAAAAATAATCAGTAGCAGGAAATATTCTGGTAGGTAAAGATAACATGTCTGATGTATTTAATCAAATGCTGATTTGTCAACATAAAAAGATGGGTCAAGCCCAATGGCAGAAAAATGGTTCTTTTCAAAAGTGTGTTTAGGTAAACAAGAGAAAGACAACAAACAACAAAGTACCTGTTTAAAGGCGAGACTGATGTCCTTGGAGAGTTCCATATCTTTGAACATACCTTCAAGTTTACTTGTGAATGCTGACCCGCATTCTGATAAAAGTCAAAATTTATTGTGTCTTTTACACATTCTATAACAGTGAAATACACACATATAATCTTGCAACAACGACCAGATCACCCATCAGAGTGCTGACGGGTCTATTCAAAAATAGCTTGCATAATATGCCCAATGCATTTCAAGACATGAGAAAGGGTCATTAATGGACAGCCCTTTTTTTAATTCTATACAATCTATCAAACGCAAATTTAGGCATTACATGGGTTGACAAAATTCTGGAAGACCTAGACTTCGCCGACGACATAGCACTCCTGAGTTCAGAACACACAGACGCCCAAGAAAAAAATCAGTCGACTCCAGAAATTCTCAGAACAAACTGGACTCCAAATTAACACCGCAAAAACAAAAAATTCTAGACTTTACCAACAGTTCAGTTGATATCACGCTGAACAACAAAAGCCTTGAAAAAGTCAACAGTTTCACTTATCTAGGGAGCAAGATGTCATCTACAGGAGATACCGCACCAGAAATACCATTTAGAATAGCACTGGCATCTAGTGCCTTCAATAAACTGTCTAACATCTGGAAATCAAAGACACTTAGCAAACACACAAAACTCAAGATCTTCAATTCTTGTGTGATTCCAGTACTAACCTATGGATGCGAGAGCTGGAAATCAACGAAAACTCTAGACACAAAATTAGACAGTTTTGAAAATAAATGCCTTAGAAGAATACTAAATTTCAAATGGTCAGATTTCCGAACAAATACACAAATAAGGCAAGAATCCAGGCAAGAGTATGTGTCTAATTTTATACGAAAACGCCGCTGGAACTATGTCGGCCACGCCCTTAGAATGGATAAATCAAGACTTCCTTACCAAGCCCTCATTTGGACACCACAGGGGAAAAGATCTTGTGGAAGACCAAGGGAAACCCTACGTAGAACTATCATCAGGGAAGGCTCGCTCATGGGCCACTCAAACATCCAAGACCTACAACGTATTGCAACGAACCGCCATGCATGGAGAGTCATGACCTCTGCCCTATGTGCCGTACTCAACACAAGAGGAAAGACTAACTAACTAACTAATACAATCCTACATTAAAACAATACCAGTATATCTCACACACTTCTTTCTCAACAAGACAGTAGGCAGGGCAGTCACTGAACAGAGGACATAATAAGACAGTCGCAGTTTACCACTAAACAGTAGACACATAAGATAGTCACAGTTAACCGCTGAAAAGAATATAGCAGGCAGGACAGTCAGTATATAATCGAAGAGAAGACAGCAGGTAGGACAGTCAGACAGAGTATCATTGAAGAGAGACAGCAGGTAGGACAGTCAGTGTATCACCAAAAAGAAGACAGCTGGTAGGACAGTCAGTGTATCACGGAAGAGAAGACAGCAGGTAGGACAGTTAGGCAGAGTATCATTGAAGAGAAGACAGTAGGTAGGACAGTCAAACAGTTCATCACTGAGAGGTTATGTCATCCCGCAGATAAGACAAAATACCACTGTGCCCTTCTCCTTCATTTGACATAACTGTGTTGTGCCTGTTTAGAGTATAGTCTTTCATGCCAACACATCCAGCTTCATCAGATAAGACAGTCATATAGCTCAGTAAGAGCAAGTGTAACGCAGCAGGGGTTTATATTTAGACTATCTTCCCTAATGTCAAACCATTTGTGATGCCATACCAAAGATGTAAAAAAGTAAGTAAAGGACCCTTTTCCACGCCTTTAGGCATATAGGACATATGGGGCTAGACCTATATTTTTATAGACCAATCAGCACAAGATGGGTGATGTGGTCAACATCACGCCAGCCGCTTTTACTTACTGGGACGGCACCCAGTACCCACTCAATACCAAAGAAGACATACATCAAAATAGGAAAAGGATGTAGAGCACAAGGAAGACCAAGAACAGGATAGAAAGACATCATCTGAGAAACTACAACAGGATGATGTGCTAATGGTCGAGGCAGCTAGAAGAGCAAGAAGCAGGACCATATTTCTCCCTCGATACCCGAAGCGGTACAAGAGGAAGTGAAGATGAAGAAGAAGGTCAAACCATGGGCAAGGATGAACATAATGTTGTTGTCATTATCAAATGCTTACCTTGCTTCAATTTGGACAGCATGGACTTCTCAGCATCCACAGAAGCACTTTTGCCCACCAGCAACCTCTTTGCCAGATCTTTCTTGTAGAAGGCCTCAAACACATCTTTGCCTATAGAAGTTGTATGGCAACGTCAGTAATAAATTATGGACTACATAATATAATTAGTTTCCCAGAAAATTAGACCTACCCCCAAAAGATGAGCCTAACAAGATTTTTCAGATACTTAAAAAAAAAAAAAACCTACCCCCAAAAATATGCCAGAGTTAAGATCACCAGCTAGAATGAGAGACTTGTTGCCAAATGGAAAGTCAGAGAACAGACACCACTGGTGTGCACTTGATATGGAAGGAATGTGGTTCATGATTCAAGGTATGCGAGAAATTCAGGCCAGAAATCAGGGTTTGGGGAGTTATGACAATGTTTCAGAAGATGGCATGACTGTACTTGAATCTTCTTCTTCTTCTTCTTCAGCATTCCGAGCCCTTAGGTTCATTGTTGCAGATATCACCCTGCCTCTATTCATCTCTCTGGTTAGCCTTCTCTTTCCAGTTGGTGACACCAAGTGTTTGTAGGTCTGTCTGGATGTTACCTCTCCATCATCTTCTTGGTCTGCCTCATGGTCTACGACCATTCAGTTCCCTTGTGTATATAGTTTTCACCTCTCTGTCATTTGACATTCTCTCAATATGGCCCAAGCCATTTCAGTCTATTATATCTCATGATGCCAGTGATCACTGGTGATTTAAACAGATTATGAATTTCGTTGTTGCTTCTCACTCTTCATTTCCCACTTTTGCATCTTAGATAGGTCCAAAGATATGTTGTTTCAAAGATATGTTGTAATACTGTTTTCGAAAATTTGTAATAAGGGACTGTACTTGAATAAATGTATAATTTTGTACACTAATAAATGTAGAGTTCTTGGGGAAAAAAAGACATCTGAAAATAAGCTCTACTGCATGTTTTGAAATAAAAATTAATATAAGACATAGTCTTATTTTAGGAGAAAAAAAAAGGTAGGTACAAGTTGGGTTAACAAATCAGTTGCGTATCTTCTTCAGGATGACGTAAATCCAACGCACCACTTATTGACTATTTATTTACCGGCACCTTTTTGTCTTTTCCAAACAGTTGTGTTTTATTTACTGTGTTATAGGCAGGCAGGGAAATCACAGCCCATGGCGATGGCAATGTGTGACCTGCAAGACCTGCCTGAATTAAGAAAAGTTTCCCCACAATCAGAGCTGGGGATTCCAGGACCGTTGTTGCCATCGCAAGTAATCAATGTGCTTCTTCTTGGCACACAGGCAGTAAACCTACCTGCAAACCAGGCAGCAAACCTACCTGCTAATTTTTCTCCTTTATTCCTATTCCTTTCCCCATTTTCTGTCTGAGAGGCAGGGAACCAACATTGACGTGCATGCAAAACTCAGGTTTCTGAACAAGACTAGAATAAGTCCAGAAGTGGACGAACAACCAGAACTTTCTGCTGCAGTTTACAGCTGGTGAACAAGAAGAAGAAGATATGGGGTGGACAAGGCCAAAGAAAGAACATTTAGCATCAGTTGGTTAAGGATCTTTGCTCACTGAGGAATAAAAAAGGAGAAAAAGACACCACACATTCATATTTCACCAACATACTGACCATGGATAAACCTGAAGATGACCAGGATCTTGTCCAGAAGTTTCTCCAGCTCTTCTTCTGTTGCCTCCTGTCAAATATTCACAGTTAATATTTACTTATGTCATCAGTTTACCTCTATCCATCACAGCTTGTCAGGTCGCCAAAACTAATTAACATTTACCTTTTCCCACAAACACACCGGCCCTAACACTCAATCTGGCACAGAACCAGACAGACATTATCAACCTCACATAGAACCAGACAGACATTATCAACCCCACATAAAACCAGACAAATACTGTCTAGCTCACATAGGACCAAGCAGGGCTTGTCAACCCCATATAGCAGCAGACTTAAAACTATCAACCCCACACAGAACCTGACATAAACTGCCAACCCCACACAGAACCTGACATAAACTGCCAACCCCACACAGAACCTGACATAAACTGCCAACCCCACACAGAACCTGACATAAACTGCCAACCCCACACAGAACCTGACAAACTGTCAAACCCACAAAGAAGCAGACATTAACTGTCAACCCCATACAGAACCTGACATAAACTGCCAACCCCACACAGAACCTGACATAAACTGCCAACCCCACACAGAACCTGACATAAACTGCCAACCCCCCACAGAACCTGACATAAACTGCCAACCCCACACAGAACCTGACATAAACTACCAACCCCACACAGAACCTGACATAAACTGCCAACCCCACACAGAACCTGACATAAACTACCAACCCCACACAGAACCTGACATAAACTGCCAACCCCACACAGAACCTGACATAAACTGCCAACCCCCCACAGAACCTGACAAACTGTCAAACCCACAAAGAAGCAGACATAAACTGTCAACCCCATACAGAACCTGACATAAACTGCCAACCCCACACAGAACCTGACATTAACTGTCAATCCCATACAGAATAGGACATGAACTCTAAACTCCACACAGAACCAGACAGAAACTATCAACCCCACAGTGATCAAAGTTTTTTTTTCTGTAGTGATGGTCAAATGGTTCATGGCTGTCACAGAAAAGATATTCTGAAAACGTTTACTTCAGTTTATTACTAGTACAGTGCAGACCTGATAACGAGAATCACCAAGGACCAAGTAAATGGTTCTTATCATAAATTTCTCTTTTCCAGATAAGTTCAAGCAAGAAGACAAGCAAATTATTCTTCACAACAGAAATCAGTCACATGCAAAATTTCCTCAAGCTGCCTGCACTGTACTAAGCCGCACGTTTTTAAATACTGGTTAACCTATGCACTGCTACAGCCAGTCTCCGTCAGAGAATTTGATTGAATTTCTTTGTTAACATTACAAGCGTCCTGTTTCGTCGTTAGGAATTAATCTCTGACTGTTCTGCCACACTTGGCTGGTGGCATTGTACTTAGGTTAAGCTGTATTCGCTTGTACCTGGTTACACATTTCAGCTGGGACCTACGCCTCTCAGCACCGGAACGCACATTTCAGATGCCGTAATCTCATCCATGATGCAGTTCTCAAACCACTGTCAGAATATCACTAGAAAAATTTTTTTTTAAAACCCCCAGCAGTGGTACGTTGAGGATTCGGTATTTGTAAAACATATTCAGTATCCTTCAAGCCACAGAGCTTAGCTACACATTCAAAAGCTTGTAACACTTTAAAATTCTTCAGTGAGTGTGATTTTTGGCTGACACAAACACCCACACAACTACTGGTCAACATCTACCAGCTTACCTTGTTTCCTGCCCTGAGTTTTGAGTCAACATATTTAGCTGAAACAAAATGATAGTAAAAAATATCAGGTAACAACAGAAAGACTGAGTTAAATGAGCTTTAAAAAAGCATCAACATGGTTTTACCAGTCATGACTTGTTATAGTGTTGGCATATAGTTATAATACTGACAGGAGAGGGATTTGAAGAACAGAACTACCTTTTCCTGTAAGTCTGGCCCATCTAAATATTTAAGACCTAATTACGAACTCCTGACTTGAAGTCTGTCCCTTCCAGATTTGCACTTGCAAATCACGGGAAACCCTGTCCAACCGTATAGCCATACAGCACGGTTATATTAGTGCACCATAAACTGGTTAAAAAATTAAGTAACCTGTAGTCCAGTCTGAGTGGGTTAGGTAATTAGATGCATATTTTCTTAACCAAGTCCCAGCTGATGTGAAAATTACACACATGAATGCTGAATGTAGATCCATCATTAGGCAAGGCTCAACCATGGGCTTAATAAACATCCAAGACCTATAACAGGTGGCAACGAACTGCCAGACATGAGAGCTATGACCTCCTCATCTTGCGGGAGTGTGGGTCTATTCCCTCCCTATTCCCTGGGCTAGCAGTAAAAAGTAAAGATCTCTTTTTACGCCTTAGGCGCATCGGGTATACGGGAAGAGAACCAATACTTTTACTGACCAATCGGCACTAGGTGGGTAATGTGGTCAGCATTACGCCGGCCGTCTTTACTTCAACAGGACACACATCCTGGTACCCATTTTAGGCTGGGTCGACATGCGACGCCTCGTACCATGATACAAATTCATGCAGTCAGCAATGGATTTCGATAGCGGTACGCTGGAATTACGAGTCGGACTCGCAATGCCTAAGCCACGTACGCCACCTGGGCTAGCGGTGGGGAAGGAAATCTCTGCAACTGAAGACTTTTTTGGTAACAGGATTAATTTACCGTAAAGCTCTATGTGGGTTAGAAGTGCCAACTTACCTATAAGTTCAGCAGGTTTGTTCTGTCTCTGGTTGATAAAGGACTCAAAACTTTCTTTCATGGCATTGATGAACTTCTCATTCTTACCAAAGCACTCTGCAATGATGTTGTCGATCTTGTCCTTGAAATCTGCACAGCAAATACATTAGGATACATCTCATGCAGCCACAGCAAGCCACCGTTGCAGACAATACATACAAATACATACATCATACAAATACGAGAATGCCCTGGTATGAATCACCACAGAGAGAAAGTTGGAAAAAAAATATTTGAACACAGAACTAACATAAAAGATGAAACAGCATCAAAAAGAACCTCGGCGAAATGAAGGCCAACTTATACAGCACATTTAAGAGAACAAAAATACTTCACATTACCCCACATTTAGCTGAGGAAACTGAAAGAAGAAGAAGAGGAAGAGAAGAAGTAGAAGGGAATTTAGGTTTACAAAAAATTTTTGTGTGCGAGCATGGGCATGTGTGTGTAGGGAGTAATCAATTAACACAGAATGAAGTACTTCATGGATTCCATACCCGGAAAAAAATGTATCTATCGAGTGTCATTCCGTGGCCCCAATCACCAGGGTTTATGAGGAAAATTTGACACCAGCTTGGTTTAAACAAACAAAACGTTTAGTTTGAAGGATCCATCGCTCTGCCATTTTTAGTTACTATATTCCAGATCATGACCTCATAAACGTTTGCACAGGCATGCAAACAGGCGACAGTATTAACTATATGTCTAGCAAACATGTTGCTATAGATAAGTCAGAAAAGTGACATTTAGGGGGAATGGCTCCAACTGTAAAAGGGATGAACACAAGAAGAAGAGAATTAGAGACTGAGGTGAAAAAGATGGGGAGGACATGTCTATATGGCAAAGGATAGCATAACTTGGTAGTGCATATGATAGTAAAGGATAAGAAGACGACGATGCAAGTGGCTTGAGGACCTATGCTGGGGAATAAGGGTAGATGAAGAAACAGTTTGATGGGTAGTTGATGAACATTAATGTTTCATGATCAAGAGATGAAATTAAATGCATGCCCTATGCGCTCATTCAGACACATCAACAAACTATAAATATTACAGGTTAGACAGCAGGGGTAATAACTGCTACCTACCCAGCAGTTTCTGAACCATATCCTTGTCCTTCTCCGGGTCGTTAGTGGGATTCACAACAATTAGACAGCCAGTTTTCTGTAGAAAATATCACAAACAACTGAGATGATATCATACAGCAAACAGCTGAGATAATGTCTAACTCACCAACCATGTACCACATGAACTACCAGCACATAATAATCACAATGTAAAGTCATCATCAGTAGGTGTCGTGCCGATAAGTGTAGGCTGTCATATTTTGCCATCTCAAATGATGACCAGGATCAGGATTATGTTCTTGTCTCACTTATCCAAGCGGCCAAGTCCTGCACATATTTTATCTCTTTGCCTGCCTCTTGCTCTCTTTCCATAATCTTATCCGCTGTCTACACCTAATTTTTATAATGAGTATATGGCTTTCATCTGTCTCAATTGACTGCTTCCTTTGTTTTTCTAGCATTCCATGATATTCTCTGCACTCTTCTCAAAAACCAAATCTCCACCTTAAGTTTAACAAAAAAATTATTTTGTCTGCTTATTGTTCATACTTCACATGCCTCAAAATTATTTTGTCTGCTTATTGTTCATACTTCACATACCTAAAAATTATTTTGTCTGCTTATTGTTCATACCTCACATGCATAAAAATTATTTTGTCTGCTTATTGTTCATACCTCACATGCCTCAAAATTATTTTGTCTGCTTATTGTTCATACCTCACATGCCTCAAAATTATTTTGTCTGCTTATTGTTCATACCTAACATGCCTAAAAATTATTTTGTCTGCTTATTGTTCATACCTCACATGCCTACAACAAAACAGGTTTTCTCTCATTATAATTGACGTCCTATTTGTGGGTATCTTCGCAATATACTAGAGGCCATTTTTGCAATGTTGATTCTTGTATGAATATTAAGAAAACGGAAGTAATGGTTATATCAAAGAAGAAGTTAATTCCATATTGTAATATCTCAATTGAAGGAAAAAGACCAAGTCAATAAATTTAAATATCTAGGAACAATCATATCATCAGATGGAAAATGTGTGACAGATTAAAAGCAGAACAGGTCAAGCAAAAGCTGCTTTTCAGAAAATAAAAAATATCCTATGCAATAAATCGCTCTCATTTAATGTCAGAAAGAGGGTGCTAAAATGTTACAAAGAACCTGTTCTGCTGTATGGCAGCGAATTTTGAAATGTCACTGAACAAATTAAGAAGAATTTGGAAGCAACAGAGATGTTTCTAAGACGAATGTTACGAATAACTTGGACAGCCAGAGTAACTAACAATGATTGCTTGAAAGAGGCTAATGAAAGTATATCTCTTTATACAACAATAAGAAAGAGACATACACTGTTCTTTGGCCACATGAGAAGAGACACTGGAGAACATCGTGACAACTGGAAAGATCGCCTACACCAGTTGGCAGGGCACATGATGATGATGATGATTCTTGTACTGATTTCTGCAAGGCATCTTGCATCAAATGATATGACTGTTCCAAGATAGTACAATAGCTGCATCTTAAAAATTAAATAACATTCATTGTCTTATTGTGCTATCTGATGTCACATAGGGCTTGCAGTATATTTCTCCATTCCATGCAATCACTTTAATATCATGGACACAGTCCAGTCCAACACCTTAGGCTTCTCTCCATCAGCGTCTGCATAAGGGCTTTTTCTTAGACGACTTTGCTTGCTCAATCCCTCTATTTCCTGTATCAGTGCCAGTTTGGTGATTCTCTGTTCATATCTTCTCAGAAAAAGTCCAATATATCACCATCTTCGTGTCTTGTAACTGCTGACACGACACCAGTGATTGCCCAGGCATTTCTCTTTATTTCTTCACTCAACTCAACCCACTTTATGTTCATTTTCCTCAGGAATTTGTTTTTCAAACGCATTTTTAGTTCAAAAATTAAACAACATTAAACAATTAAAACTTCAGGCAATCAGCAAGTGATGATGTGTTTTGTGTACAGAAACAAACATGTGAGTGTACACAAGTCAACTTATTCTGAATTTGCTCTTATTTAAAAGAGCAGCTGACCCATTGTGTTATCGTTTACAGATAAGCCTGCCACATCTGTTCTTTCAACCCAACAAGTCTGATTTCTTACTTAGTAGCTCCTCCTCTACCTTCAGATGTAGAGGTTTGCCAGAGAGATCACCAGACTTCTCTATCAGAATTTTCTTTCTGGCTTTGTTCCATTCCAGTCTTCTGTCAGTTAGGGACTGTTGGATGTTGTCTTCCCAGTGCACCCTGGGTCGCCCTGGAGGTCTGGTTCCCTGGTTCTTAGCCTCCCATGCTTGCCATGGTGGCCTATTATCTTCAATTCTGCATACATGTCCAAACCATCGTGTGACTGATCTACTCAAGTTTGTAAGGCCTGGGTTTTCAAGATTTTGAAGTACTGTCTGATTGCGAACTTCGCACCTTCTTGTCACTTGGACCACCTTTCTCAGATGTCTTATTTCTTGGGCCTCAAGCTGGTTTCTGTGAGTTGTTGTCACTGTCCATGACTCACACCCGTATTCAGGAGTGGCGCACAGATAAAGCTTAATCAGCCACTTTTAAGAAATGCTTGTTAAGCGTCATTAGATGTACCCTTCCCTGCCCCCCCCCCCAAATGCATTCCTGTTTGCTGAAATCTGACCCGTTGAGCTGAAATGGACAGATACCACAGCCTGGCTGTAAACCCTAACACAATAGGTTAACGCCCCTAAGTAAAAGAGCACCCCTGTATAGGAACTGCAAACCTGTGAGATATATGTAAGAACTCACCTTGATATAAGCAGCAAACTCCTGCCTGAGCAGCTTGAACCCATCCTTGACCCGATTAAAGAGATTAAACATCAAGGTCAAGTCAGAAATTCGGTTTTCGTCAAGCAACTGGTCTAGACCTGCACAAGATGGAACAAACTGAAATTAGAAATCACTGCATTTTACAGTATGAAATTCATGTTGCCATACTGGCTTCAGAAATTTAACTTCAAAGGCAACAATACTGCCTTCACAAAATGAACTACACATTTTTAATCCATAAGGAGTATTGATCTGAAACCCATATGTACCGTGTCGCACGTAATTACGTGCAGTAAACTTGATCATGTCATAGTCATGTAACAAGTACTGACCAATGAATAAAAGAGCATGTCTATGATGATTAGTTTCTGTTTCTGACCACTGATAAAATGGCTGGATTGATCTAAAATCTGACAAAGAAGCTTGTATGCAGACTGTTGGCTCCTTGCCTCTCAGACAGAAGCACTCCGACTTCAAAAGAAACCCCCAAGTAGTCAACTCCTATGACTTGCATTAGTGAGAGAGACAAGAGAGGG